CTACTGTCATGAAATATGTATTTGAACTTACGCTTTGTGCGGTATTCTTTTTTTTTTCCAGGTGAGTGGCTGGATCTTGGTGAGTATGACTACAGGTTCTTTGGTAGCCAGTTCTCGGAGCTCGAGCGCATAGCTATTGATCTTAACCAGGGGCGTTCTCCCGAAAAGACAAGATCTAGTGTTATGAAGGGGCGGTTGGGAGCTCTGAGAGGTTCTACGGCTGCTTGTGCAGATAGTGCTACTACACCCAAGAATCCCATTGTGGAATTGATAGACAGCGATGATGATGTGTTTGACAAGATTCCTGGCGTTGGAAGAGTCACGAGGAGCGCTGCTGCCAAAGGTTTATCTCCCCTTGCTGGAATAATGGCTCGTAGAGCTGGTGGTGCTAGGAAAGATCCCGCTTTGGATTCTGGCAATGTTGTAAGCACGAAGCGTGCGCCCGGAGCTCCTATAAAGTTTTGCTCCCCTGTGCAGCAGCTTCACCCTTATAAATTCCCTCACCTGGACAAGGCTCGTAGGTTGTATAATCTGTTGCTTAGTGATGAATGGCGTAAGAAGTATGCCGAGTGAGTATCTCTCATTATTTTTCCTCTTCCTTTTCTTCTGTTGTTTGTAACTGCTAGATAAATATGACCTGAACTATTCCTTTTTATACAACTAGAACTTCTATGAATGCCTTATCTTGCTTCTCCTTCTTTTTGTTCTTGTGTGTGCTGCAGGAATACATTCTCAATGATACCTCAGCCTGATGATAACGTAACTAGCTTCACTGGGAAACACATCTGGGAAGTTTTTGCACCTGGGCAAATGATGGAGGGTGATGTAATGGACTTCCTCATTGATGATTGGAAGTAAGATCCCTATAGAAATGCTGATTTCGCATCTGGGAAAAGGATATTGCTGAGTCCATATTTCATCACGGTAATCAATCAGATCGGTTTCTTTATGTTGAACAAGACTGCCTATTGTTTTTACGAGTTTTAATAATACTTTGCTTGTTGATTCTTTTCCGCTGTCTATTTTCTATTTTGGCTTTTTTGCAGGTTGTGCTTGACTGTTCGTTTTACGAGGATGAAAATAAAGTGTTTAATGTGGTGAGTGCAGCGAGAGATCTCAAGAGCTATGTTAAAGCTAATGAAGACTTGCTCAGTGCCGACCTTGTGAGATCTACTAGCTGATTTTTGGTTTTTATTTGTTTGTTGTGATGCTGGTTTTTAATTTGAATATTTAACATCTCTTTTTTGGTCATTTGTTTTTAGATCATGATGCCTCTATTCAAGCCTATGGTTTTATCAAAGGATAGGAAAGTGAACCACTATTCCTTATATGTCATGAATCGGTACCGAAGTAGCGTTGACATCCTTGACTCTTTACCTTATCCGAAGAACCACCGTCCTTCAAAGAACACCTATCACAAAGACTGTGAGAAGATTGTGAGTGACATTTATTATCTGTACTGGATTAATATTTCTGCATCTTTGTTTCTGCTTTTTCTGAGACCTAAAACTGTGTGGGTTCTTTTGTTTTTTTTACAGATTTCTAGATTGGTCAAAGTAATGAAGGCTGTGTATGGTGATGCTCAGTACAATGCGAGCAAGCAGCGCAATTGGGAGCTGTTTGCAAAGAAACCAACGTTTGTCAAGGTTCCACTTCAAGGGAAAAATGAATGTGGCCATTATACTTTGAAGTATGCGGGATGCTATGATGGTGAAAAGATCGTTGAGAACATTCGAGATAATGACGTGGGTTTCTTGTTGAGCTTTTCACTTTCTATTTTTGGCTTATTGTGCATCCTTTTTTTTATGTGTCATGATTTTTGATAATTTGTTTTATTGTTTTGCAGCCACGCATTGTTGATTGGAACGCTGATGATCTGTATAGAGTTGTGTTCAACCGGAATAACAATCTTCTAGTGACGGAGCTTCCCAAGGAGGTTCAAGCTTTGGCTCCTGATGCATAGGAGAAATGGTCATCATTTGCATAGTGAATGGGATAGTTGTGTGATATATCTCTTGAAAACATTGTAGGCTCTATTTTGTAGTGTTTGATGTCTTGTCGAGTACTATGTAATAACTAGTATATTTTGTGTTGTGTTTTAAGTGTGGCATAATGTTTCATCGGGAATTCGTTTTGGTTAAGTTTTATTTTTTGTACTGAAGACTTATATAGCATTTGAACTGAAAACACTTTTTTTTCAAGTGTGTTTACGAGTTGTTGCTCAGAAAGTGAGATTTATTTTATTTTTATGTGATTCCATCCTAAGTTGGACCTTTATATTTTCTGTACTCTCGTTTTCTTGTACTTATGATATAGTTCTGTTAGTACTGATTTGTAATCTCATTCAGCGTAAGGCTTTCAAAAATTTTGTGCCAAATTTCTATTTGAACTTCTTGAACTTTAGTAGTTGAACTTCACAGTAAAAGTTAAAGTACTGGTTTAAATTAGCTACGTTTAAGAGATAGTCCTATTAAGTTCAAAACTATTTCTTTCTCAATGCATTAATTGGTATCATCATAGCACTTACCGAATAAACTTAGTTGTACTGAGATTCCAATTGTGCTAGTACTTTTGATTAATTATTTATTGTTTGTGTTGTTTGATGCTAGTACGTCTTCTGTTGTGTTTCTTGTGATTTTTCTCTTTTGTTGAACTTATATCTTTTTGATTTAGTTTTTGGCCTTCTTTTTTTCTAGGCTATGGTTCTTCTCCAGGCAATGTTTGATCCTAGCACTTGCCGTATAGACTTAGTTGTACTGAGATTTCAGTTGTATTGCTACTGTTAATTCTTAGTATGTCACTGTTTTAAGGAATGCGAACTGAAGCTTCCCGTTCCTTTTTATATATTTGTAGAATGAACGTACCGTGTGTTCAACTGTACCAGAACTTTCAGTCCTAGGATGCTAGTGACTAGGAAATACGTACTGGTGTTTCTTTGCTTTTCCTGATGCAGTACTTAGTGAATTTCTAACTACTTTTTAGCACGATGCTTTTTAGTACTGAATGTTGTCCTCGGCTGAAACTTAGTCTTTTTAGTGTTCTTCTGAAACTAAAAACTGATTTTTTTAGCGTGATAGTACTACCGTTCATGTCTAAGTTGTACTAAGCGTCGAAGGCTACTATTTGCTTTTGGCATTTATTTAGTCTGCCACTTTTTTTTGCGAAAATATTCATGTGTTATTTTTTTCTCCATGACTAGTGCTGCGTGGCAGCCATCAAGTTTCAACTTCAAATCATGGATGAACAAAATAGGAAGCTAGCAAACTTGTTAGACAACATAAGCAAACGATGTACTTGATAGACATAGGCAAACTTGTTCAAACCCTGACACACATAGCATAAGGTAGCTGGTTCAACATAACGAAAGCAAACTACAAATCTGAAACAACAATACTAAGGACACACACAACATAAGGTAGCTGGTTCAACATAACAAATGCAGACTTTCATGCATCTTCATCCGCGAAGTTGCAGTGGTAGTAGGGGTCAGCCTCCTGCTCTTTTGAAATATCCCAACCTGTCACGATGTTTTCGATTGTCTTCCATGACTTGTGCATTGCGTATGCATCTATTCCTGCGTACGTGATGAGGTTGTCTGGCCGCGGGCTGTTCCCCCATAGTTTGTGGTCTTCCCTGTTCATCTTCTTCTTCATGCCTTCGTAGAATGGGTGGATGACGCCGCCTGCAACATTGGCCAAGGAGTCGTAGTATTTGTTGGTCTTTGGATCTTTCCACTTGCGCTGCATGTCGATGAAGTTGTTGGGGTTGATTTCCAAACCAGACTCCTCCAGCAGCCGCTTGTCACCTCCAATGCTGAAACCAACAAATGTGTACAATTTCTCCTCCCGCAGGAAGTCTTTGAGGCGCTTGGGCCTGCAAGGGGGGAGACACACATTTATATATTAGTCTTCTTTTTTGAGGATTTAATTCTTCTACTTTTTTTTGTTTTACAAGTGATAATCCATGAGGTAGATGCTTATATATTATGAGTCATGCATGAATGTAGTTCAGAAACTAGTACACAAAGTCCTGAAATTAAATTCAACTACACCGTGTTATTTTTTCTTTTTTGCTATCTTTGTTGCTTCACCAAATTAGAGAATCATTTTACCAGAGTCAATGATATATGCGCTGCTTGATTCAAGTTTAGTTTTCCTTTTTGTTGAATAAGACCTATACCAGTGCTTGATACATCTTTGTGCATTAATTCTATATCAAGTTCAAAATTTAGTTTGAGAAACATGTGCATCAAGATATGGACCTATACCACTTCACCAAAGATCTTTTAATACATCAATTCTATAAACTATACTAGTGCATCAAGATCAGAATCTATGCTAGTACATCAAGTTCAGAAATTAATTTGGTGCATAAAGTTCAGAATGCTATAAACTTTTTTTCAGATGCTAATCTGGTGAAACAATCCACTTCACAGTTTCGGAAATGCATGTAACTTAATAAACATGTAATCGTGCATCCACTTCATAGACTATAATAGTTCATCTAGTTGGGAAACAAGTTTTAATTAAGTTTTTAGTGACTAGTACTGGTACAACAGATGAATGAACAGTAGTATGGGTTACAATGGATGAATGTACTTCAAAAACTAGTAAAGAAAGTTCTGAAATTAAATTAAGTACATCATGTTATTCTTCTTCTTGGATTATACATAGTTTCAGCAATGCTGTATGTTCTTCATTGGTACTAGTTTAGTCTACTTTTGTTGAAATAGGATAACATAGAACCAGTGCTTCACCAAGTCCTTAGTTTATTTTCTTACGAAAATAACATTAGATCAAATTCAGAAAATACTTCACTACAAACCACACTAGTACATCTAGTTGGGAAACAAGTGTGATTAAATTTTTAGGATACAGTAGTAATAAAACAGATAAACCATATGCAGGGCAAATGAGTAGGATTGCTCACCATTTTGTGGCCGCTGCAATGTGTTACACCAAGCAGAGTTCGTCGACGCACAACTGCAGAACTGCTGCCAACTAGGGAGGTTCATCTTCATTGGTGTAGTGCACACCAACGCCGATGATCCTACGAAACCTGCCGCCAAGCTTGCTCCAGAGCCTGGAGATCACCTCGTCGGCCTTGTCTGGTTTGCTGGTGCAGACGATCTCCAACGTCTCCTTGCCGTGGAGCTCAACCCCTTTGAGCATTCTGGTGTACTCGCGCTTCTCGCCGGGGGCGTTAATGTCGACGAGGTTGCTCCTCTTGTCCGACGTCTCGGCATGATGACGCTTGGCGGACGGTTCCTCCGCCATGGCCTTCCTCCGGCGACTGTGGGCTTTGGAGAGAGACGCTGGAGGTTTGTGTGCAGTGGAAATGGAAGCGGCAATGGTGGTTTGTGGGAACGAGGGAGATAGATAAGAAAATGGGGTATTTTTGCAGTGCGCCGACGGTGGTGTGTGGGAGGCGGTTCGTCGGGGGCGTGTGTGTAGTGGTCGTGGGGGTCACAGTTTGCAGTGCATCGTGGCAACCGCCCAGTGGGTGGCGCGGGTGGTGGTGTGGAAGAACTAACCGTCCAAGTTAAATGGTTTTTATTGTTGAACTGACTAGTCTTGTCAAGCTGTACTTATGACCTGCCAAATCCCACTTGCACGTCTCTGCAGTGGTGATGATGGCATTTTGCACTGTTTAGGTCACGTATGGATCTGTGATGTTTTTCCGTGTGGATGTTTAAGTATTGTTTTTCTATTGAAGCCTTTATACACTAGTGTATGTCAAAACATTTTTTCAGTGCCCTGGGAGTTGTTGCTCAAATCTTGTACTTATTTTATTTTCATCTGTACCAACCTAAGTTAGGCCTTTATAGTTTTTGTATTCTCATTTTTAGTGCACTTATGTTTTAGTATTGTGTGAACTGAATTGTAATTTCAAACAGCACATGGGTTTGAAATTTGATGTCAGAGTGGTGCGAGTGGCCTGACTGATCCTGCTGTTTTAGTACTGACGTCGTATGTATGTTTGAACTGATTTTTTTATAACTTAGGTTGGGGGTGGGGGTTTGAGATTATTTTACGACCAGATCGTTCGTTGTGGTGTGGACAAATTTTATATAATAAGTAATTTAGCAGAATTGACAAATAAATTCTATTTGAACATTTAGAGTTTGAGTAGTTGAACTTGTCAGATTTTGTATAAATAGGAAATTTAGCATAATTGACAAACATTATATGTTTGAACTTTTTGAATTTTAGTAGTTGAACTTGTCAGATTTTATATAAATATGAAATTTAGCATAATTAACAAACATTATATGTTTTGAACATTTTGAGCTTTAGTAGTTGAACTTGTCAGTTTTTTCTATAAATAAGAAATTTAGCATAATTGACAAACATTATATGTTTTGAACTTTTTGAGCTTTAGTAGTTGAACTTGTAAGATTTTGTATAAATAAGAAATTTAGCATAATTGACAAACATTATATTTTTTGAACTTTTAGAGTTTTAGTAGTTGAACTTGTCAGATTTTGTATAAATAAGAAATTTAGCATAATTGACAAACATTATATTTTTTGAACTTTTAGAGTTTTAGTAGTTGAACTTGTCAGTTTTTCTATAAATAAGAAATTTAGCATAATTGACAAACATTATATGTTTTGAACTTTTTGAGCTTTAGTAGTTGAACTTGAAAGTAGTTTTTAATTCTGTTTTTTAAATTATGTACATTTAACAGATAGGCTATTAAGTTTTGTTCTTTTTAGAGGTTCATTGTTTTTGTATCATATTTTTTCCTTTTTCTTGTAGAGGTTAATTGACAAACATTTTTCTTGTAGTTTATATTTCTTTGTAACGCCCTCTGGTTTGTATACTTGGGCTTATTTGGTGGGGTGTTTTGTTGACGATGTAGGCTATTGGGCTGTTTTCCGGCCTAGATAGCTCGTCCGCGCGCCTGTGCAGTGCATCGTGCGCATGCGCTCTGGGTTTAGTCCCACCTCGCTAGTCGAGGGGGCTCTAGACCTGTTTATAAGCGCAGCCGAGGCTCACCAGTCGAACTCCTCTGAACACTTACCTGAGCGCTTATACACGACGCTCTCTCTCTTGACCTGTGGGCCCTGGTCGAAGGGTCCTGCGTTGTGCGGATTACTAGGGATTCACCCACGGGCTCGAGTTCAAGTACTTGACTCCTCCAGTAACTTGGACTGATACTTTTTGTTCTAGTTCTTATCAGTTTTGTGTGAGTATAATCTTTTTCATTTGAGTTTTTTGCCTTTCTTTTTTGTGTTTGTTTTTGTGATTATTCTCAAGTGTCTTCTGGTGTCATTTTTCAGAACTATGGTACTTGCGTGTAGACTGAGTTGTACTGATAGTGCATTGATAGTAGCGCTTATGGATTGATGCTTCTTTGTACTTTTTATTGTAGTAAGTATGTAATGTCCGATCAAGTGTACTGAGTTGTACTGACATGGAACAAAGTTGTGTGATTAGTTGCATCATAACTAGTACTTTAGAGCAACGACAATGTTCCTTCAGTAGCTACTTTCCAATTTTGAAATGATGGATTAACAACATACGAAGCTACCAAACGAAACTTATATAATGAGATAAGCAAAACATTGTACTTGATGACATAACTAAACTTGTTCAACCATGACAAGCAGGACATAATCATACTGGTTCAACCCAACAAGAGCAAACTACTAATTTGAAACAACAAGATAAAAGGCAAGCACAAGCGAAAGTAAAACGAAGGCAGACTCTGATGTATCTTCATCCCTAAAAGGGGCAATAGGGGTGGTCGTAAAAGTTTTCAGCCTCCCGCTGTTTCGCATATTCCGAACCATCTGTGATGTAGTCAATCATGAACCATGACTTGTACGCGGCGTACGCATCTACTCCTGCATACTCGATGAGGTTGTCTGGCAGCTCGCTGGTCCCCCACAGTGTGTAGTCTTCCTGCGTATTGATCTTGTTCTTCATGCCTTTGTAGAATGGGTGGATGACGCTAGCTGCAACACCAGTCAAGGAGTCGTACTCTTTTTCGGTGTATGGAACTCTCCACTTGCGCTGAATGTCGATGAACTTGTTGGGGTTGATCTCCATACCGGACAACTTCACCTTCTCTTTGTCGCTTTCAATGCTGAAACCGGCAAATGTGAACAACTTGTCATGCTGCAGCATGGCCGTCAGGAGCTTGGGCCTGCAAGGGCAGAGACATTTTGAATATTAGCATTACTTTGATGTTTGAATTATCCATTTTTGTTTTGTTTTACAAGCGATGAATCCATGAAGTAGTTGTTTATGTAGGATAAACAATGGATGAATGTACTTCAAAAACTAGTAAAGAAAGTTCTGAAATTAAATTAAGTACATCATGTTATTCTTCTTGTTGGATTATACATAGTTTCAGTCAATGTTGTATGTTCTTCATTGGTACTAGTTTAGTCTACTTTTGTTGAAATAGGATAACACAGAACTAGTGCTTCACCAAGTCCTTAGTTTATTTTCTTATGAAAATAACATTAGATCAAATGCAAAAAATACTTCACTACATCAAGTTTAGAAACATCTTTTTTAATACATCGAGTACATAGACTACTCTATTGTATCAACTTCAGAAACTACACTAGTCGATCAACTTCAGAATTTAATCTTCCGCAAGATTTTCCAAATAGTAATCCAGTGCATCAGGTTCAAAAATACATTTATAGTATATCTACTTGAGAAAATGCAGTACTGCATCCACGTTTCACAAACCACACTAGTACATCTAGTTGGGAAACAAGTGTGATTAAATTTTTAGGATACAGTACTAATAAAATAGATAAACCATATGCAAGGCAAATGAGTAGGATTGCTCACCATTTTGTGGCCGCTGCGATGTGGTACACCAAGCAGAGTTCGTCGACGCACAACTGCAGGATGCTGCCATCTGGGGAGGTTCATCTTCGTTGGTGTAGTGCACACCAACACCGACGATCCTACGAAACCTGCGGCCAAGCTTCCTCCAGAGCCTGGAGATCACCTCGTCGGCCTTGTCTGGTTCGCTGGTGCAGACGATCTCCAGCGTCTCCTTGCCGTGGAGCTCAACCCCTTTGAGCGTTCTGGTATACTCGCGCTTCTCGCTGGGGACGTTAATGTCGACGAGGTTGCTCCTCTTGTCCGACGTCTCGGCATGATGACGCTTGGCGGACGGTTCCTCCGCCATGGCCTTCCTCCGGTGACTGCGGGCTTTGGAGAGAGACACTGGAGGTTTGTGTGCAGTGGAAATGGAAGCGGCAATGGTGGTTTGTGGGAACGAGGGAGAGATATAAGACAATGGGGTATTTTTGCAGTGCACCGACGGTGGTGTGTGGGAGGCGGTTCGTCGGGGTCGCCATTTGCAGTGCGTCGTGGCAACCACCCAGTGGGTGGCGCGGGTGGTGGCGTGGAAGAACTAACCGTCCAAGTTAAATGGTTTTTACTGTTGAACTGACTAGTCTTGTCAAGCTGTACATATGACCTGCCAAATCCCACTTGCACGTCGCTGCGGTGGTGATGATGGCATTTTACTGTGGCACTGATTCGTATAGTCAAGCTATACTTATCAGCTGCTTATCCCACTTGCATGTGTCAGCGCCGGTGTTGGTGGAGGTCTGAACTCCTCTACTGTCGTACTCAGACTGGTGATTGAAGTGTAATTGAACGTACCAAATACCAGCAAGACTATTTGTGGTGCTAATGTTTTGTTAAAACAATTTTCATATTTTTAAAGGATTGTTTATATCAATATAATCTGTGAGTATATTTTTACAGATAAATTAGATTTTCACCAGTACAGGATGTATTATATTCGCATTTTGCTTGAGGTAATTATTTTTATGTACTGATGGTCTTTCTGAATTGGGACTGGCAGGAGCAGGCATAGCTTTGTTTTTTCAAAACGATTTTTTTTCAGTCGTTCGCTGGTGTGTTTGTTATTACTATGCCTTTTGTACTACCGACTGAGAGTTATCAGTACTGATGTAATACAAGAGTTTAAATTTTTCCTTGACATTTTTTTTGCTGAGTTACTGGTTGACAGTAGCGTTTTGCTTCAGATATATCAAGATAAGTTTTTTCAAATTTATTTGTGACTGCATTCGAAAGGATTATCAAATGGTTTAAATAACAATGTCACTGCTTCAGCGGGCACATATCAGAAATTGTATCAGTACTGATGTGTACTCTGCCTTGTACTGCCGACTGAGAGTTATCAGTACTGATGTTATACAAGAGTTTAAATTTTTCCTTGACATTTTTTTGCGGAGTTACTGGTTGACAGTTGCGTTTTGCGTCAGATATATCAAGATAAGTTTTTTCAAATTTATTTGTGACTGCATTCAAAATGATTATAAAATGGTTTAAATAACAATGTCACAGCTTCAGCGGGCACAAATCAGAAATTATATCAGTACTGATGTGTGCTCTGCCTTGTACTGCCGACTGAGAGTTATCAGTACTGATGTTATACAAGAGTTTAAAATTTTCCTCGACATGTTTTTTTCCTGAGTTACTGGTTCACAGTAGCGTTTTGCGTCGGATATATCCAGATAAGTTTTTTCAAACGTATTTTGTGACTGCATTCAAAATGATTATAAAATGTTTTACATAATAATGTCACTGCTCCAGTGGGCACAAATCATAAACTAAAAAATAACTTTAGTTCTGATCGAGAAATCGATGATAAAGCTAAATAAGTTTTGGTAACGACAGTGTTTTGTGAAATGCTTCCTCATTGTGTGCTGATGCAACTGAGACTACAAGGTTATTTTTTAGTTGACATAGCAGGATAACCACTATGTATTGTTCAGTCTTGAGCTTCTCCTAACTGTCCCCGAATGTTGTGCCTTGCCGGCGCTCTTTCCAGGTTGAGCCTTGGCAGCTTCATCGTCAGTTTCAGTTTCCTCGCCCCCGACACTGTCATCTTCATTGTCTTTGTCTGATTGGCTGTCATTCTCATCAAACTCTTCTTCTTCATCGTCTTCATTTGATTGCTTGGAACTCTGTACCTTGCCCTGTTTATGTTCAGCTCCACTGACCTCCTTGCCCACTTTGCACGTGCGGGCATTATGTCCGTCAGTTCCGCCACACTTGCGGCAAGTGTAGCTGTTACTGTGTTGTCTCCATTGGTAGAAAGCTGGGTGGCTCCAATCTGCTTGTTCTTGTTGACAGTGGCATTTGTGCGGAGCGGGCATGTGCGGTAGTTATGGTTGCTCACGACGTTACAGAATCCGCATGCCCTTACCCCGAGGGGTTTGCCGTCCGGGCCAGATTCCACGCGCTTGATGGGGTGTGGTGGCTTTTTCCCTGCTGCTTTCGCAGCTTTCGCTGCTTGCGTCTTGCTCTTCCTTCCCTTTGTGTTTGAGAATATTGGGGGTTTAATCACCCTTTCCTGCTGCTGCTGGTAGGATGTGCTATTGTCATGTTGTTCGCCTACAGCACCATCGAGCTCATAATCTCGCATGTGAGTTTGTCGGTGCTCTTGAGTGTGCACATGGGCAAGCTCTGGTTGCTGCCGCTCCTCTTCCTCATTCTCAAACGGGTCAATAGCTCCCATATGGTTCATCTCGGATAACATTGTAGCAATATCCTTCTCAATGGCTTCATTGTCCGTGACACCTCCATTTTCAGTAGAATGCATGGCGTCGAGTTCTTGTTCAAGTTTGTCCATGATGACCCGTGTCCTTGCCATTTGCTCTTGGCTTCTCAAGCTTTTTCTGTGCACCCTCATGTTCAGCGTCAGCAGTAAGCTTTCAATGCAGTATTGGGATGCCTTGTTTGACGCTACTGTCCTCAAGTCATTTCTGTCAAATGTTGGTTGGATGTTCGGGCGTTTGGTGTATCTCCTGAGTATGTATTTCTATGGAACGCTTTCAGCCTTAATTGTCTGCATCATGCACAGGACATGGACGCAGAAAAGACATGTATTTGTTTTTGGAAGAGGTGCATGTTTTTTGTCATTTCATTCGAACAAAAACTTTGCAAAAAAGTAGTACAGTATGTAACATCTTTTTTGTAGTCCATACCTGTGTGGTCCCATAGCCTGCACTTGCACTCATATGTTTCTCCCGCGGGGTCTGCAACCACCTGGAACGCGTGCTGAGCCCACACAGACAGTTTTTGCGGGTGGTTGTAGCGCACTAGGTACTTTGTGGGCTCTTCCGTCTCTGTCGCCGTGAAGAGAGTGCTCAGCTTTAGCCTATCTCTGATCTCGCTGTACACAGCTCGTGTGTACAGCTTTGCCATCTGGGTGTCAAACCCATAGAAGGTCAGCGTGTTTTGTTCCTTCTACAGATGCAAGAATGATGACCAAATTGTTAGTTTTCTCACAGGAAAAACTTCTAATATAGTTTTTACTTTGGTAAGCATGTAATTTTTTGTCTTACGACAAGTGATAGAGCTATACCCGGTTACCCATTGTCTCCTGGTTCTCTGTCTGCCTCCTGGTTTTGACGCAAGAGTTTACCTGGCTGACAAACCGGTGTAGGTTATGTCTCTCATTTACGTAGTTCTTCTTGAGCACATAGTTCATGCTCTCACTTCGTTGTGTCGATGTCATTTTGGCGCAGAAAATTTCTTTGAAGTAGGCTGATATCCATTTCTCATGATCGTTCCACATGCCCACCATTGTGGCATCATCGTGGAGGTTGTACTTATCCATGAGTCTTTTCCAGGCATCCTCAAACTCAGTTGGCATGAGGGGCCAGTTGAGAATTGATGTGAATTCATCCTTAAAGTCATTGTGCAGGAAATACAGGTACGCGAGGTGTTCCCTGTACTTCTTCATAATGTGCCAGTGGCATAGCTTATGTAATGTGTTCTTGAAAACATCTGCGATCACCAAAGCCATTGTCGGGCACTGGTCTGGTAATGAGAAAATAGGCTCGGAGTGGTCAGCAGATGGTTGTGCATATATACCAATAGAACTGACACAACATTTTTATTGTGTTACTTTCCTTTTCTTTTTTGGAAGGGGGGTGGTGGTTTGGGGTGGTTTTAGCGGGTGTACCTGTGAGGATGCATGTAGGAGCCTTCCTTCTCATGCACCTTAAAAATGTCTTGAACAACCACTTGAATGAATCTACATCCTCATCTCTTATCAGGGCAAAACCAAAGAATGTAGTCTGTAAGTGGTTGTTAGTTCCGACAAAAACCCCAAGTGGCATATGGTACTTGTTGGTCTTATATGTTGTGTCAAACGTTACGCAGTCCCCGAAGTCCTGATACGCCCCTCGACAGCTTGCGTTCGCCCAGAATATGTTCTTAACTCTGCCGGACTCATCGAGTTGCATGTCACAGAAGAATTCCTTGTTTATAGCTTTCATCTCCCTAAAGAAGTTGACAGTCTTTAGGACATCGTCCACATCATCAATCCTTGAATTATTTGCTTTCCTGCATATTAAAAGTTCATTGAAAAATGCATGTTGAACTGGCGTCAGGTCATGTGTTGCGTGATATGTTTGTACTGACAGAGGAAAAAATACATAGGCGGTTTATGGGAGGAGAACAAGATTGTACTTACAGGTTAATCAGGTCTTTGGCATTCATTTCGAGGAAGTAGGTACCAGGGTCATCACCGCCAAGAATGCTCATGATTTGCACGTGTTCAATGCCTTTCAACTGCAGGTACTTGACGTATTCCAAGATTGTTTTGTCAAAGTTTTTGTGGGAGTGCAAGAAGACAAGCATTTCTGCGGTGAGCTGTAGCCTGTGGTTGTGGTTGTGTTCCCAGACTATCTCTTTTACGACAAATGTTCCATCCTTTTCCTTCTTCAGCCTCATTTTAGCCCCACAGTTAGTTCTGGCTGTCGTCTTGTTACGCTGTCTATTTGCTTCAGACACCTTTGATTCATAAACTCCATGGCACGTGCAATAAAGGTAGGCTCTGGTCTTAAACTTGGGGCCTTCCCTGACAGCAAAACCAGCGTGGTTCGCATATACGTTGTAGAAGTTCTTACTTTCTTCGAACGTTTCAAACCTCATCTCTAGCCTTGGCAGAATATAAGCTTCAATGTCAGGTGGCTGCACACAACAGTGACCAAATAAAAATGTTATATGGGGTGGTCACAGCACCATGGTATGGAATGTGCTTTGTATTATTATTTTTCTATATGGATACTTACATGTGTATAGCTCTGCGCTGCCTCTGGTGTTTGTTGTTCTCCCTGGTTTATGGGCGCTGGTGGT